TGTAAAAACACTGTGATGTACAAACAGGACTTTCCTGCTGGGGATACAGTGGGTGCTTGATCCTTTTGAGTTTTATTTGCTTGGAAGGGGAGAGTACACGAACCATCAGTATCTCAGTAACTGTCTTCACTTTAGGATAGCAGATTGATTTTCCTTAGCCTGATAAAAGTGTTGCATTGTACATAATTGTAAATTTTTGGAGACATGATTTATGTGCTATAAAATTTTATCTGTGTTGACCACAGTGTTAGAGCACTGACTGGTCTTACATGCACAAGGCCCTGAGTTCAATCCCCAGTACCACCCCACCCCAAAAGTTAAAATTTATTCATGTTACATGTACACTTCCATGACCATAATAAGATCTCTCATGCCTGCTTACAGTCAGTCCCCATTCCCACCTCTGATCATGTATCACCTTCAATTCTGATTTCTCAAATTGCTCTAATAACCGGAATGAATCTCGATATGACTCAGTGCGCCAATGGGAAAATACTCAGTTTACAGTTCATTGTTACATGCGTGGCCTTCCTTAAGCAGAATGCATACACATCCACAGAAAGATACTAAAGGCTTCTAAGATGTCATACCTGCATCTGGATAGCCACTCCTTGACTGTCTTTTAAACCTGGGTAGAAGCAGGCATGGTGGTGAACTCCTGTAACCCCAGCATTCTGAGAGGCTGAGGCAGGAGGATTACAAATTCAACCCCATCCTGGGCAACTTAGTGAGACCTTGCCCCAGAATTTGAAGAGGGGTCAGTCTGAGGATGTATTTCAGTGAAAAGGCCCTAGGTTCAGTCCCCATCAAAAAATAAACCTGAGTAGAAAAGGAACTTTAGGTACATTGGAGGGAGTTTCTTTATTTGAAGTCACTCTTTGAGTTTACCTCTTTAAACTCTTATAATGTTCTTCCCAGTGCTGTTCCTTAACATCTCTAATGCTTAGCCTAGATAGTTCAATGAGCAAACAAAAATCTTTCCCTAGATCTTTGGAACTGTGTGTTTCAAGTTGACATAACTCTTTCACTTTCAAAGTGAAATAGTACCAGTACCTAAAGAGGTCATGGGAGCCTTCAGCCAAGTGGGGCTTGATCAGAAAAGTTTCAGTAGGCAAGAGCTCCTTGGAGTTTTTTTAGTCTACACCAGGATGTCCCTGTGGTTCTTTCAAACAGTCCTTCCTTGTCAGCATCCTCAGGACTTTCCCTTCTTGCAGCTTGCTGAGCTTCCTAGGGATCAGTCAGTTCAGCTTTTGCCCAAGGGTGAAATTGTGACTAACAGGCACCAATTATAATTGCATAAAACATCTTTACAAAGACTTTCCTTTTGTGTCCTTTTAAGGGGGAAGGGCATATTTCAGCTAAGAGGACTGCCGTGTATCTCCCAAGTTTCTCACTCTTGATTCCTGCCTTTTGACAGTTGAAGGTTTCGAGGTTTCTTTTTAGCACCGTTCTTTAACAATTTAAATGAGATATTAAGTCCTGCTACAGAAGCACACTCCCTGTTCCCACCCAGCAGGGCCCAGGCACAAATGAGGCTGGTGTGGCACTGAGACAGGACCCTACAATGACAGTTTTCTCAGGACACTTAAAGCTGCCCTGGGACCATATGGAGGCCCCTACACTTGATGTTTTGATTTCAAAGCTTCTTGTTACCAAAATATTTGCTTCTCAGAGCTGCTGGCAGGTGATACAACAAAAGTGAAACTGATTGAAATTTGAACTTAGTTATCAAATCACTAGAGTCCTAACAAAACAAAGAGTCAGCTCTGTGGTCTTGGGCTTCTGTGAGATTTTCCCACAACACGACTCCACTCCTACACTGCAGGATTGATATTAATAATAAATGAAATAATATCTGCAAAAAAACTAAATGTATTTTTCCCTCATCATCATAATTATAATAATTGAGAAATAAATGCTTCAGAAATGAGAGTTGCAGTCTTCTCTTTATACAGAGGGTTTATTTAGCTTTGTCTCTCAAAAGGTAGGGTGGAGGAGCCCTTCTTATGGTATCATTGAACTCAGAGGCCCTGGAATGGTCCTTTGGCCAAACAACACTGTAGCTCATTTGCAGAGCCGAGACACTGCTCTGTCGGTGAGCACAACCGTTCTTACGTACGGGGGGTGGTGTGTCCATGCATGTGCGTGTGTGTCTGCCTGTCATCACTCCCAAGTTCTTCCTCAGAGAGGAGCCTCATTGGCTTCGCTTAGAGCTGAGGCCTCATTTAGACCTAAGAAGGGAAAGGACTTCACTTTGTGCCAGGAGCGCCTTTCTCATGTGAATGGGGTCTGGCCTGTCTGGGTACAGGGCTAAGGTGGGAGTTCCCCGACTCCTGTCAGATCACCGCCTATGACCACAGTTCTCACTTACCTGACAGCCACAAGGGAAAAGGTCCCTATTCCTCTGCTTGAGGCCTGAGCAAACTTAGTAACAGCAATTACTGTGGTGGTGGTAGAGGTATAGTATGACAGTTAACCTTAATTGTGTCAACTTGACAGGCTTGGGATCCACCCGTGCTCCTGGATGTGTCTGGGTGCATCTCGGAGACACTGACTGCGGTTACTGTGCATGGTTCCAGCACCTTCCTCTCTGGTGCTGCCCCCTGCTCCACTTCCCAGCAGCTGGGAACACAGCACCTTTGCCTGCCAGGCCGTTCTCCCATGATGTTTCTGCCTTGGGCTAAGCAATCACAGACTCAATCCCTGGAGCCATGAGCCAAACCAGATCTCTCTCTTCCTTCAAGTTGTGGGTCTTGGTATTGCATCCCAGTGAAGGAAAAGCTGATATAAATAATAATATTAATATACTTAATACTGATAGACTACCTCCCAGGCACCATATTTTCCCACTTACCCTGATCACAACCCTAGGGGCCTAAAACATTATTACACCCAGGAAGCCAAAGCCAGGAAATTTTCCCAGAGTCCCTACATTAATCAGATTTTTGTTGCTATGACCAACACCTTAAAAAGTTAGCTTTGAGGGAAAAGATTTATTGTACCTCAGAGCTCCAGGGTTTCAGTTCATCTGGCTCCCAGGAAGAAACATGGTGAAGGATGTGGAGGGGACAAGCTACTCACCTCGTGGCAGTGGGGAAAGTGGAAAGAGACAGAGAGGAAAGGAGATATGCTGTACTCCCCAGTAACCTACTTCATCTGTTAGGCCCATTTCCCGATAACCCCGTCAGCTATTGAACTTGTGAGTGGATTAATTCACTTGATGAAGTGAGGATCTTCATGATCCCATCACTTTCTCAAAGCCCATCAGCTCTGAGCACATGAGACTTTGGGGAACATTTAGATCTAAACCATTTTTTCAGGTAGAAAATTTTTTCAGGTAGAAAAAATTTTTTCAGGTAGCCCACTTTTTTCAGGTAGAAACTCCATGAAAACTCACGTGCCCCACTTTTCCTCCCAGGCTTAACTCCCAGTGTCTATCCCAGGTCTGCTCTCTGAATCTCATTTGTTAAGGATCAGTGGAGGGCATCCCTTGATGTTTATAGCACTGTGTTCATATGTTTGCATTGCCCTGTTTCCCACTTTGGAAAATAAACAGCCAGGGATCGAAGACCCCGAGAGTCCCTTTTCTAGCTCTCCAACAGGTGACTCAGGCAGTATCTCTTGGGTGGTCTGGGCCAAGGCTAGGGGTGGCATCAGCTTGAACATCGGCCAGAGATGCTGTCGGTGGGGAATGACTGCTGACTTCACACTGCTCTTCGTAGAAACATTGGCTACCCACTTTCTCGGCCCCGGAGAGGTTTTACACAGCACGTGAAGCCTGGAGATGATGTGGGACCGCAGATCTACAGACAGCAGGGTGAGGGTTAGCAGTCTGAGAGTGGACGAAATCAAAACACACCAAGTAGTGAATAGCATGCAAACAGGACAAGCAGCCCAGGGCCGTTTAGCAGGGAGTAGGTGACCTCATACTTCCACAGGCCTGAAGCCGTCATTAGCATCATTAGAGGCAGCATTTTAAAATTATTGAACATACCCAAACACATATACACACATACCCTGTATAACATTATGTGCACGGTGCTCTTTACTCACTTTTTTGCCATTGACTCATTTAATCTTACTGCTGTTTTCATTTTGTAGTTGAGGAAACCAAGACACAGAAGGATATACAGATACTATAACAAAGAAACATTCAGTACATTTCAGTAGTAGTTATATCCAAAATTGCCATTTTATTTAAGTATTGATACTTTGGGGCATACTTTTCAGTTATTTAGAAAATTTGATTTTAAAGGGACATTTCCTTTCCAAATTTAGACTACATAGCTTGTATTTAAAAGTTGAAGGATATTAATAATAATACATTACGAAGCCTTTATCTATGACCCCATAAGGCAGCAGGGTAGGTCCTTTTGTCCTGTGCTATCTGTGATGATTTACAGACCCAGAAAATGTGTGTTTTGACCAAGCAAGGTCAAATGTAGAGTCAGAACCCCAATCCCAACTGCGTCTTCCTGGAGTTTGTAACCAATGGTTTTTAAATGAATTAAAACTAAGACATCACTGAATTACATGACCTCCCTCTGTGATATTTTAAGTTCCAGACAAAGGGATGTAGCTGTAGAAAGTAAGCCGCTGAAAGTGACTTGTTATTTCTTCCTGATGAGAAATTGGTTTCCTGAGTGAATTGTCCATTGAGCACAAGGCTGACTGTTGTAGATGCCTGTTATATAAGTTCATGTAAATTCTTGCCATTATAAAGTAAGGGCTTATTTGAGGCTTGGTAAAACTTCCAGATTAGATAGATGATAGATAGATAGATAGATAGATAGATAGATAGATAGATAGATAGATAGATAGATGGGTGATAGATACTCAATTTGTATTTATGGTGTAGCTACTTTGTTCCAAGTAGTCATTAATAAAGCCTACATTCTGTTACACTCTTAGGCTGAAAGAAAATTGATTACCAGTAACTATTTTAAGCTGTGTTTTTAACTTCTCATTCACATGTGGTTATTTTTCTTTTTTCCTCCAAGGGTCGGGATTACTGTTCGGAAGAAGAGGATATCACATAGCACCAATTCTATCACTCAGACCAGGAGCTACTACTGTGTAAATAGGTTACACCCCAGTTGAAATCTTTGCAAAGGTCGGTTTTCTTCAATGAACAGCACTATAGCAAGAGAAGATCGTTCCATATCGTATGCCCCATTAAATTACAGTGTTTCTTAATGAACTTGCAAAGGACTATTGCTAAAACAAACAAAAAAAACTGTTATTGAACTTTCTTTGTTGCTGCTAGTTAAAACTTGTTGCAACTTTTCACTTCTCTTGTGTCCAGGTATGCAGCCAAATTCTCCAATTTCACCTTAAAGATACTATTGGTTTTACAGATGCTCTTCAACCTATTTTCTATAAGATGAAGTAGTGGTGGACTCAGATATCAAACTTCTATTCTAGACCAGTTCTGCTTCTAAGACAAGAATTTCTTTCCCTCTCTTTCCTCCATATCTCTCCCAAGCGGTCCAGAGACAGCCCAGGCCTTGTTTGTCGCTGGCATTTTTGAGCTGTGGAAAGGGGATGGTGGTTTTGGCCGGCCTTGTTTCTGTGCTCTGAAGAAGTAGGGGAGCTATTGTCAATTGAAAGCCTGGCGTGACTTGACTCCTGGAAGTGACACAGGAGCAAGCAGAGTTGGTCCCATCTAATAGGTACCTTAATAAGGATTAAGCTTGCAACATTGGCTTTGCTCAGACGCAGATGGAAGTGTGATTGCAATCATTTTGAATCTCTCTTCCTCACTTTTTTTTCTAAGAAATAAACATTTTACTGTTTTTATGTATCGTTGTCTTCTCCCATTCATCCAGCTCAGTGTTTTAAGGTGATCTTGGATTTAGAAGTTGAGCCCTTCTTGGCAGTAACACTGATGAGTGGCCTAAGTGGCTCCCACCCTTCCCTTAGTAATCTCCCAAGGCTCAGAAGGGCTGCAAATGGTCAGAAGAGATGAGGGAGTACCCTGTGACTTTTTAGGAGGATCTGAAGCCACGAAGTCTTTCATTTTATGAGAAAATAAAGCATCCTGTTTTATGATTCTCTCCCTGCACTATGCTACATGAGCCTTGCCACTTCCTCCTCGTCTTACTTCCAGCACTGGATAGTGCAGTGAAAAGCATTTGCCTACCCAAAACGCTTGGGACATTTACGCTGGCGATGATATTTGGAGTTGTGAAAGCCAAAAGCCCCTGGCAGTGGTGGGGAATGTTGACTGTGTGTTCAGTAGAGTTTATTTTTCCATACTATATGAAGAGAATGATCTCTTCTCAAAGACAGAAGTAATATTTTTAACAAATATTGTCTCGCAAGTAAATAGCAATCAAAAGGAGAAAATAACTTTTGTATTTTTTTAACGTGTTTGATAGCTTTGCTGAGGGTTCTTTTTGTTACTTCGGGGGAAGGCACCCTATTAAATGCCATGCCAGCAGTCCAGGTTTGAGTTTGTCCCACAGAAATACAGAAGGAGCCTGGCGTGTTTCTTTTTGGGTTGTGAACTTCAGGGGCCTCCATATCAGCCACACTACCAACTTTCAGAGGTGGATAGTTAAGAAGGTGGGTGATTAAGATGTTGAGGGGGGAGGTTCTCAAGAGATCACCTGCCACAAAATGGAATAAGGACCTAAATTTTCTCTTGCTGAAATGAGCCTTGACTTTTAAATCCATCCACAAAATTGGTGGCACCATTGACATGCTAATCATGAGATTCCTTATCTCCTGTCAGACCTGGGGCAGCAAAATTGAGAGGAAGGAGCTCAGTCAAGTGCTATAGAAAATGGACTCCACTTTGTTAGCAACAAAATCCCTTAATTCTTGCAGCCAGAAGAATCTATTTTGGGGAGCAGCTGTGGTTGTTACATAAATAGAGATGCAGCCAAAATGTAAGACTTTTATCCTGCTTCATTCAGGCGGAAAAATGCAGGGAGAGTCGAGTAGTCTAGGGTTTTAAGTTCCCTTCCCCTTGTATGGTTTAGGCCAAGTGATGAAAATAGTTTTCCTCGACTGTAAACGAACGGCGAAGCCCCACCTCAAACTTGTTCACTGGGGACTTTGTTCACTGCTATGTGGATGACCTTTTCCAGGATCTCCTGTTCTTATCAAGCCAGAATGAAGCAAATGTTAACGTCTTCCATTTGATTACTTGGTGTCTCAGACAGTGTCTTCCCAGGCATTTTCCATCCTCTACCCGGAGATGAAACATGCTCACATCATTTCCTCACAGTCACATCTAACATTCGGACATGTCACACATGTACACGGAACCAAGTGTTTCTTGGGACCTGACTTTTGAGTGTTTAATAAAACCATAAGAGTTATTCCCACAAACCAGCAGCCTTTCATCTGGAGTTCTGTCTCCTGTGTTTAACACTGTATACATCCTTGCTGTGCAAAAGTGATTTCTTCTTCAGACACATTTCTAGAAGCAGGTCTGAGAAATGGGGTGATTGAGTGGGTTGGCATGAAGTGGTTGATTATATTAACAACACTCAAAGCTGTCTGTTTCCCATTCGGTGGTTTTAACCATAAAGTTGTCAAGTGACTTTTGTTTGTACTTATTTTAAAAATACCTTCTGAAAGGATCTAGGGCAAAAATATCTTCCCCTTTTCTCATTCCATGTATCCAAATATTATGCAGATTGTCTCAGGTGCAGATTGTCTCAGATCCTGGTGTATTCTTCTAGTTGTCATCTCTGCAGGACATGGTTGGAAGGAGGAAAGGAAGGCAATAGCCTGGTGAATGGAGGAAGAAAAATGATGAGAAACAGACTTAAGAAGCCGTCAGCAGAAAGGGTTGCTATGCTGACTGTGTGCCAGGGTGATTGGAAATCCAGCTGCCTGGTGGCCAGTGGGTGGGGCTGAGCTGCCATCAAGATTTACAGCTAGATTACATATGCCTTATGTACTTTTAGTGGTAGAGTTGTAAAAGTTCAGCGGTCTGTGCACAGCTTTCTTTTGGTTGGCAGAGATTCAGGATCATGGAGTTCTGCCCTCACAATGCAATACGTGTTCCTCACTGGCAGACAACCTTAAAAGAGGCTTTCACCTTCAAGATTCCTCCTAGCCCCAGGCTTATGCAGTGAGCGTAGAGTGGTGCTATGGTCTATTTAAGGACCAGGAAGGTACAAAGTCCAGTGACTGAAAATTAGGTCAGCCCTCAGAAACAGTGAATACACACAGTGTCTGGGTAGGTGGCAGCTCTCTCCCTGTCTGTCATGCCTGTGATCTGCAACTGGCCTTAGATGATTCAAATATGAAATGATCTGACCCCAAAGTGGCCTTGGTTCTTAAGCCCTCTGCCCTAGCACCCACCTGCTCCCTAGTATCAAGTGAGAAAGCACCTCTGTGTCACAGACACACCAGGCATCAGAAGTGACCAGGCCAGCAAGCTGACAGTCCTAGCAGCAGGCCCAGGAATGACGGAACCCACTTTGTGGTCCCAGTTGATGTCATCCAACTTTGAGTTATAACTCTGTCTTCCTCCCAACTTCATCACACTTTTTTTTTAATTAAGGCAGGACTCTCCTGTAAGCCTGCTAAAAGCAAAAATTATACCTCTTATGAATTTTACCTCAGTAGCCTGTGATGTAGGTTGGCCTATTGATTATAAGTCCTGCTTACCCATTGGACAAGAATTTAAAAGTGTTCCGTGTCTATTAGTCTTAAGAAATTTGGTTAAATGTGTTGGTTTTATAGGAAGAAAAATTGATTCTTAATCCAGGAAAATACTGACTCAGAATCTTGGACTCTGGGACTCTAATATTTTCTTTATGAAGAGCAAAACAACTGGTATCTAAGGTTCTCTAGCCCTCCCTCAAAAAGTAGAAAAAAGTATTAGATTGTGCTCTGTAATTTTACATAAAACCTACTTGCCATGCTTTTCCTCCAGAAGGCATTCTCAGAGCTTTATTTCTTTGTACCTCTTAGAAATTGGTCTTTTTGTTGAGTTGCTTAAAACCCCAATAGAAAAAAAAAGCACATGGTTGGTGAATAGGGAATATATATTTAAAGGCATAATGAAAAGGTGGCTTGAAGCAGGAACTTTGGCTTCCCGATGTCACGGGTGGATTACTGGACTCCAGTGTGCCTATATAAAGCTGGATAAGGCGATTGGCTTTCACACTGCAAATACCCCTGCAATAAATCTTCTGGAATTTCATGAACAAGGTCTGTGAATTGCCTTCTGCCAATGAACGGATGTGTTTTTCCAAGGGGGGAAAATGTCTTTGATTTCAGCAGTCACTTTTTTATATGTCTCTGGAAAAGGGTCACAAAAGCTATGGTACAAAATGAGATTTGTGGGTGAATATATTTACCTTTGTGACAACATTGGGACTTAATAGTGATGCCGTGGTTTTCAGGAGACTCATTCTTTACCTGAGATCAAGTCTAATCTTGGAAGTAACAGGAGTAAAGAACTGATGTTTATTATTTGTACTCTGTGCCCGCTACTGTCCAAGGCATTTTATAATTGTTTCATCTAATTCTACAGTAGATCTGCAAAGTGAATTATTACCCCTGTGTTCTAAATAGTGTATATCTTAAATGTTGAATGCATCTATCCAACAAAAATGTCCATGTGGAAAGAAGGAAAGATGCCATTCACGTATTTTCTAAATTTTTATCTGATCATTATCATCACCATCATCATCATCATTATTGCCATGCCCCTTGCAACACTGTGAAAACACCCTCTGGGGCAACTACCAGGTTCTCTCCTTGGCTCCTCTTCATTTTACATGGAGAGAGTTTTAACTGATGAGCTGCACACAAACCAAAAGAGGCTGCAGGAGGACTTCAGCACTCAGAGGGAAAAGGTTTGGGGAATTCAAGCACCTGGGTCCCCCACCCTCGAGGCTTTCATTCTGGGGAAAGGAACCTGGTACTTCTGCAGTAGAACACAGGATCAGGCCACTGATGGCTGTGATTTCTTGCCTGTGTTCTCAAGGCTTGTGGTTTTGGCACAGGCTGGCTACATCTTTGTAAGGTTAGAAGCCTCCACCTGAAGCAAGGCTGAGAGAATCTGATCTCTGGAAGTGGAGGGCAGACAATACCTAGCCCTTTAACCTCTATTGAAATCCTTTCTTGTGGGCTAGAATTGGATATTTTATTTTGATAATTGGACTAAATATCTATATTTTCCTGGCTCATTTTTGAGCACCAAAACTAAGTAGGAATCTCTTCAAGACCTTAAAATTTTTTGGATAGTCATGCAGTGACTTCACTAGTCGTTTGAATAACTTGATCCAAGATAGGAAGATCTCAGAAACTCCCCACAGTTTCTGTGCTTGCTTCTAAAGGCACATTGTGTGGAGAGGGGAAAAAAAAGATTCCTATTTCCATAGCAACTGTTTAAGGCACTGCCTGGAAGGGACCTACATCCACCCTAATTTACTCAGCTTGAAAGAATAAAAAATATTGAATAGAGGGGGTAATATGTTCAGTTTCCCTATGAAATCTGTTCGTGAGATCATGAATATTTCTAACCTGGCAGCTTCCAAACTCCTTGAAGATAATGTGGGAAATGGCTCTTACCTCTTGGAAGCCAGAAAAATTACTCTAATTCAGGAAGACCTGCCCCAACTTGAAGGTCCCAGTCAGGTATTATCTATCTTCTGCGCCCTGAATTCACTCTTCTCCCCTTCCCAGGGGTTATTTTTAGACCAAGGTCTGGGACTCCATTAAGTTTTAGTGTACCAAGAACACCATTTACTCAGCCAGAATGCCTTAAGTGCCCCAGGATTAAAAATAGCTTTAGAACCTTGGGGAGCCATTTGGCCCAGACCCAGAAGTAAGACAACAGCCCTGGTGTCCAGGCATTTTAGTCTGGCCTTCAGGGAATCTACTCTCTTGACAAGCAAGTGAGCAAGGGAAGTTTGGCAAAAGATTTCAAGCCAGATTTTCCATTCAAAGCAAGATGTAAACTCATAAAAATTACTGTATTCATGAACCAGGGAGCTGAATTATTAGAACTTCAAATTTGCATCCATTTTCAACACACACACACACACACACACACATAATGAATGGATAAAGAGAATCTAAATACTTTATCATCAGCAGACTTGAAGAAAGGGTTACGTTTTGCCTTTCTGAAAACTCCAAAATAATGTCCAGGAAAGTATCAGTATAACTATAATAATACCACAAAAGGAAAAACTAGTGATTGCTCTTGCAAAAGTTTGAGTTCGACACATGTGGGAGCATTGAGGTCTGCTGTTCTTGCCAGCACAAGGCCTTCTGTGCCAAATGTTTCCATTTGTTTGACTCCTTTGGGACTCTTGCTGGGTATTGTGGCTCATGTCCTTTTTCAGCCTACAATGCATAAAGGACACATCCCTGAGGGTGCATGCCAGGTCCAGCCACATACAGCCATGGTGTTGGTCACACCTTCCCCCACTCATCCATGTGGCCCAGACCGGCATTTCAGCAGCTCCCCTGGGATACCTTAACACCAGTGTGTGGAGCTGGGGTCCTTTCATCTAGGTTGTCCCAGGTGTAGCATTTTTAGCATCACCCTTCCCAGTCTTGAGTACTCATTCAAACAGTAGACCATTTGTGGACACCTGGTACACTTCAGGCACTGGGCTCATCATCAGCAATACACAGGTGAACCAAACATAGCTCCCACCTTCATTAGGGGCCTACCAGTAGTGGGGAGACAGCCTGGAAGGGCCAGTGTAGGGAAGTGCCCTGGTGCTATGGTGGGAGCATTTTGCAGAGGCAGCCAGCCCAGCTTTGGGGATCAGAGGCCTCCAGAAAGCAGCGCCATCAAAGCCCACCTTTGTCAGAGAACCGAAAGAGCATTGTAGAGGGACAGCAGGAATCATGCGCACTGCCCAGGGCCGACATGCAGAGAAGGGGCTGGAGCTCAGAGATGAAAAGGAAGGAGAGGAGAGCAAGGGGCAAGGACGGGGCAGTGAGCTGAGGCAGCCACAGAGGCTCTGGGGTTTGGCTGTGCATTCAGGGAGCACAAAAAAGACTTGAGGTGCTGCTCTGCCCTGTGCAGCCCATGGCATGGGTCCCTGGGACCTATGTGTAGTCACCCTCAGGGCCGGGCTGCCCTGCTCTCTGGGAATGCTGAGATGATTGATTTCTGTCTTCTGTCCCTCCCCACACCAGCTCCTCTTCCTTTCTCCAAAGCTGTTTGAGTTCAAAGGCTTTAGCCTGGACTGGATGTGGTTCAGAGTCAGATGGAGGACAGCTCTGGGTCATCCTGACCTGACTTTAGAGACCTGATACCTAAAAATGCCTCCTGGGGCCCAGTTGGCCTGTACCCAGAGGTGCGAGTGTACCCTAAAGTAAATACACAGGAAGCAGCAGAGGGCTTCTGATGCTAACCAGAGGCAGCTGCCCTCGAACTCCCCTCCCCTGGGGGAGGTGGCATGCACCTGTTGTACACCTGAGTCCGGCCGAGGAAAGCAGACAGTTAAAAATCTTAAAAGCACAGATGAACTGTATACAAGTGGAAAGTACCCACAAGCCTAGAGAGATGCTGAGGACCTCAAAGTACTGTCAGAGCTCAGCTAGTGTAAGCCAGGGAAGGCCTCAGACAGCAGACCCCCTCTATAAAAAGCAATTCGCAGTGCCTTTTAGGTTTTCCAAAGAACAAAGTGGGGATTTTCTTTGTTTGTTTGTTGTTTCGTTTTGCTTGTTTTTGTTTCCCTGGGGGAAAAAAAATAGAAAACTTTTAGGCAGAAGCAGATGTTAGATGCATCAGAATGCTAGCTGCAAGTCATCACAGCCTCTAGAAACCCAAGAAAAGGCTCAAATGGGAGACAGTTCCCCTAGAGGATGCAGGAATTTGAGGCTGGGGCAGTTTTCCCAGTTGAGTGGCTCTGGACCTCTGCTCAGGGGTCCTAGGCAAGCCTTGCTGCTCCTTGGGGCTGAACTCTTTGGTAAGACCCCAGCACGTGGCCCTCCTGGGCAGCAACCCTGGCCTACCCGCCCTCAGAATCATTTCTGCCCAACATCATTTCTGTTTCCAGATAGTCCTCTGGGTCCTCACTGAAGAGTTTTTAATCCTGGGTCTTGTGATTCTTACTCAAGTGTCCGCCAGGCATAGGCCTATGTATAAACATTAAAATTCTGCCCATGACAGTCTTAATGCTGGAAACCAAGAGAACATTTGGTCTCACCCACTTTAAATTTAGGGCACCATCTCCCCATTTTCTGCCCTGGCACACTTCCTACTCACCTTCATCTCCTTGCCAGGAAAGGATCAAATGCCTCTATGCCAGTTGTCACTGGCTGCGTATCTGCTGCTCTTCCCCAGGTATTTGTGTTTTATTTAGGAACATGACCTTACATTACATTCAAGGAAAATCTAGCAGCAGGACTAGGAGTCATCATCTCTCAGTAGGGACTGGCAGGTATCCTGGGCCTTACTCTTCTGAGCACCTGCAAATGCATTCTGAGTGGGCAAGAGAGCCTGCAGGGCAGCCTCCCTCCACTCTGCTGCCCATGAACTCTAAAGCAGCGGGTGCCCATCTGTTTCCACTGCACACAGCCATCAGCAAAACCTTTGTGAGATGTGCCCTCCTGGATGCTCGTTGATTTTCTTAAAGCATATATCCATTTACTCGTATAGTAATCTTCGGCACATTAGAAAGAGTACACATTATACAAGTTTAAATGACTAAGACCCAAGCCATTATAAACAGGTTCTAATATTTTCTCTCTGAACTCCTAAGGGTGACTTTGGGTACCTCCTGGTCTGTGCAAACTCACATAGAACACCCCTGCTTCTGTGAAAATCAGCACACCCCGATAGCACCCCTAACCACTGTGTGGCTCAGAGCCTGTGGAATAAGAAAACCCTAAGGCAGAATCCCTGGGAGCTTCTGAACTGGGAAATGAGGCAGAAGAACTCACGACAGCATGAATTTAAGTAATTCAGAACCCTGGCAAGTGAGCTGTCCCAAGTCAGTAGTGGCTACAGGTGCTAAGAGCAGGTCAGATCCACATACACAGCCATGGGATTGTTCCCTCTCTGGGTCTCCGGAAAAGGGCATTGGTTATATCCCCAGCTCTCTCCTGATTGGAATTCTATGAATCCTCAAAGTGCTTCACCAGTGCTACTCCCCATGGCACCGTGGACCCATGTGGCTTGAATATTATTTTTGATTTGACCACCAAGATGTTATACTGATGATTCTGTTCCATTTTGAAAAGGGTCTGAGAAAGTGTACAGGTCTAATTATATATACATATTTATACATGTGTATTTTTGTTTATTGTTACATTTTGACATTGGACTTTCTATTAAATAATTTTTAACAGTTGGTCTGACTTTGTATTTCCTTCTTTCTCGGATTGGGGGGTGGTGGAGAAATGCCTGGGAAAGACCCTGCTGGTGTCCTTCTTGTCCCTTCCCTCTTCTCTAGTCTAGGTATCTGAGGGCTTCTCCTTTCTGTTCTTAGCTCTTCTGGTTTTGTAGGGCATGTGCTGCATCAGGTACCCAGTACCTCCAACCTGTTTTCATTTCCCACTTTGTCAGCTGTGTCACATCAGCTTCGGCAAATGCACAAATCCATAGACATGGTGAATTTTAAGAATACAGAACGGGACCGTCAGCTGTGTCACATCAGCTTCGGCAAATGCACAAATCCATAGACATGGTGAATTTTAAGAATACAGAATGATACAAAATGGCATCTCGAGCTTTTTCTCTTGAATGCTTCTCCATGGAGACTGATGGACAGACAGAAGACAGACCACACACACATGCACAGTCCTAGCTATGAGAGCTTAGGCAACTTCCTTAACTATCCTGAGCCTTGTAAAAACAATAATTTTCCTCATAGGTTTATCTTGAAGAGATCCCTTAGTAAGTGTGTGATAAACAACCATCTGTTTCTCAAAGGCTCTTGTTTTTTCATTCTACTCACTCAGCCAGCTAACACTTGTTTTTGTTTTTGTTTTTTGGTATTGGGTATCGAACTCGGGTCCTTACACTTGCAAGGCAGACAGCGAAACCACTGAGCTAAATCCCTGGCCCTCAGCTGACATTTGTTAATTGCTCGGTGTATGCCAGGCTCTGGGGTCACCCAAGTCAGGACTCAGGGATGTGAGCACATAAGGAAGGCCTGTCAGAGGGGCAGTATGGACATTGAGGCCTATATCTTACAGTCTCCCACATGCCAGTGCAACCTGTTGCTACCTGCCATTTGAGGCTGAAAGCAATGAATTCTTCCACTGCACTGACTGGGGCCCATTGAAGAGAAACATACACATAGTATCATAGCATTGTGGGCAAAGTATGAAGCAAAAGCAGTTTTCCTTTGCTCTGACTTCCCTGTTCACGTCTGACAAGAGCTGATGGCCTGATTGGTCCACCCACAGGCCTACCACCCTTGATCTTGAGAACACAGTGTCTTCATGTGTCTGATGGTGTGGTGCTAAGAGTAAAAGTAAGGGTGGGCCAGTGCTGAGAGAGGAAGGGAGGGTCAGCAAGAGTGAAGGAGTTGATAACTGTTTCCAGGCTCTCTCCTCTGAGCCAGAGTACTAGAAGTTCTGATTTGCCACTAAGTTTTACAAGCTGTCAAAGGCAAAAGCTCAAGCATCTCCCCAAAGTAAACCTGAGTCAGAGCTCGTTCTTTGAAAAACAAACCTCTTTCTCCTGGCAGAGGCTCACTTGAAATCACAAAGGCAAGCCAAGCTGAAAGGGTTCCCTAATGCCACCCACCAGCTCCACACAGACACACACTGGGTTCTGTACCCCACCAGAACTTCTGGAGTTTCCTTTATCTCATGCAGAGAGAAGTCAAAGTCAGGAGACCACTGGACCACTTCTTGGGGCCCCTTCTGGAGTTCTTAGTAACAATGCTACTTCCAGTTCACTAGTAGTGGTTGGACTGAAGCCAGAGACCAGTTGCCTGGAATCTTCAAGGGGAAACGGGATGCAAGTGATGGAGGGAGGAGGAAGCCCAACCTCACAGAGCCTCACTGAGAAAGTGTACAGGTCTAATTATATATACATATTTATACATGTGTATTTTTGTTTATTGTTACATTTTGACATTGGACTTTCTATTAAATAATTTTTAACAGTTGGTCTGACTTTGTATTTCCTTCTTTCTCGGATTGGGGGGTGGTGGAGAAATGCCTGGGAAAGACCCTGCTGGTGTCCTTCTTGTCCCTTCCCTCTTCTCTAGTCTAGGTATCTGAGGGCTTCTCCTTTCTGTTCTTAGCTCTTCTGGTTTTGTAGGGCATGTGCTGCATCAGGTACCCAGTACCTCCAACCTGTTTTCATTTCCCACTTTGTCAGCTGTGTCACATCAGCTTCGGCAAATGCACAAATCCATAGACATGGTGAATTTTAAGAATACAGAATGATACAAAATGGCATCTCGAGCTTTTTCTCTTGAATGCTTCTCCATGGAGACTGATGGACAGACAGAAGACAGACCACACACACATGCACAGTCCTAGCTATGAGAGCTTAGGCAACTTCCTTAACTATCCTGAGCCTTGTAAAAACAATAATTTTCCTCATAGGTTTATCTTGAAGAGATCCCTTAGTAAGTGTGTGATAAACAACCATCTGTTTCTCAAAGGCTCTTGTTTTTTCATTCTACTCACTCAGCCAGCTAACACTTGTTTTTGTTTTTGTTTTTTGGTATTGGGTATCGAACTCGGGTCCTTACACTTGCAAGGCAGACAGCGAAACCACTGAGCTAAATCCCTGGCCCTCAGCTGACATTTGTTAATTGCTCGGTGTATGCCAGGCTCTGGGGTCACCCAAGTCAGGACTCAGGGATGTGAGCACATAAGGAAGGCCTGTCAGAGGGGCAGTATGGACATTGAGGCCTATATCTTACAGTCTCCCACATGCCAGTGCAACCTGTTGCTACCTGCCATTTGAGGCTGAAAGCAATGAATTCTTCCACTGCACTGACTGGGGCCCATTGAAGAGAAACATACACATAGTATCATAGCATTGTGGGCAAAGTATGAAGCAAAAGCAGTTTTCCTTTGCTCTGACTTCCCTGTTCACGTCTGACAAGAGCTGATGGCCTGATTGGTCCACCCACAGGCCTACCACCCTTGATCTTGAGAACACAGTGTCTTCATGTGTCTGATGGTGTGGTGCTAAGAGTAAAAGTAAGGGTGGGCCAGTGCTGAGAGAGGAAGGGAGGGTCAGCAAGAGTGAAGGAGTTGATAACTGTTTCCAGGCTCTCTCCTCTGAGCCAGAGTACTAGAAGTTCTGATTTGCCACTAAGTTTTACAAGCTGTCAAAGGCAAAAGCTCAAGCATCTCCCCAAAGTAAACCTGAGTCAGAGCTCGTTCTTTGAAAAACAAACCTCTTTCTCCTGGCAGAGGCTCACTTGAAATCACAAAGGCAAGCCAAGCTGAAAGGGTTCCCTAATGCCACCCACCAGCTCCACACAGACACACACTGGGTTCTGTACCCCACCAGAACTTCTGGAGTTTCCTTTATCT